CCCCCCCCCCCCCCCCGGCCCTCCCCATCGCTCGGTAGGAAGGGGGAAATCGTGCTGGATGGCATGATCCTACAGGGCGACTGGAAGCCAGACCGACCAAGGCTCGCAGCACGTTGCCTGACTCTGTTTGTCGATGTCTGTCCATGCAATGAGGCCCGCAGCTGAACCCACGAAGCCGCGGGAGAGCGTCATGGAGATGAGCCGTGGCTGCAAAGATGCGGCAAGCGTCCGCAAGCCCGGCAGCAAGCTTCTTGTGCGCGCCTGCATCAAGCCGTGAGGACGAGCCGTGATTTTCTAACAGGCACTGCCTTCCAGCGCCAAGTGCAAGCGTTCTTGCAGCCAAGATGCTGAAAGCCTTGAAGCCTCCTCTATGCTGCATCACATTGCAGGCATGAAAGCACGGGGTGACCGCAGTCGGAGCCGGGACCGCCGGCGTCGAAGCATGGAGCTCACGACGAGCGGGCGGAGTCGGAGCACGGATTCTTAGATTGTGGACTCTTGCCCTTGTGGGACTGGTCTCTTTATTGAGGCAGAAGCCGTGATCGCCGCCGTCGGTGAGGACTACACACTCGCTACTGCGCTACTGTCTCTGCCAGAGCGTGGAGATGCTACGGAACAGGGGGACAAAAGTTTGTTTGCTCTCTAAGTGTGTCCAGGAATGCTTTCTGATTTGTCATTGAAGTTGATAGGTCTTGACTTTGCATTTGAGTGTTCCTGCTGTTTGCAGCATTGGGCTCACTGCACTGTTCGCACCTGTTCCAGTTCCAGTGGGGCGCAGTTGGGCAAGCTTCTCACATGAGTTTTTTTCCCATTGGGTTGACTTGTGCGGATGGTCCACGCATACAGACGGTCACTGCACGTAGAAGCCAGATTTTGGGCACTTGCCCAGTCTCTGCCGGACAGTGCTGTTCCTGGTTTCTTGCGCCCGGCTTGCCATGAACCCGATACAGCCGATACAATTCCAGAACTTCCAGGCCGGTTTGCGTGAGTCCGTCAGTCCGTCCTTTATAGTTTCATCTCCAAGACTTTCGGGTACCCTTCCATGTTCAAGGTGCAGCTGCATCCGCCTCCGCCATGCACCGTGAAGAACACGAACCTCGATCGCACTGCTTCCACGCGTCCCCACATGACCAGACGAAGTCTAATCGGCCGTCGTGCTCCCGTACCGAGGTTCCTGAATGTACCCGAGGAGAGTGTCTCCAGCGACGAAGAGCTTTACACTCCCTTCGAAAGGTGCAATATGTCAGCGCCTCCAGTTCTTCAGGAGAGCACCTAGTGCAGCCGCACGTTTCGGTTCCTCGGAAGTCACGGCCTCTGTACGAAGCTGTCTTGAGTCTTGGTACAGGATCCGGCATATGTCCAGCCGGAGAGCACAGCAGCACCTCGGCGGCTGACGTGTCCGGAGCGATCTCCTCGCACGAACCTGTGTGTGCGCATAGTGAAGCGACGAGAAGACTTAGAAGCTGTTGAAGGCAGACCTCGTCGAAAAACGTAGCCTAAGTCATCAGCCAAGGCTTGCAACTACTACATGCGCCTGCCCGGCCCATGCCCATCAATCTTGCAGCTTTCCTTCCCTGAAGGCCTTACTGACTCTTGGAATGTCAGTTAGCAGCGGTGAGTACGAATTTCATCGACGGTTTTTGCAATCCTACTTGGAAGACTCCACAGCCGAGGAAGGCGACCAACCTCGATTCAGGACGTCAGTGGTGTAGTCCCACACAACATGGAAACCGTCTCGGCGCAGCGACGGCACAGAGCTGATTGTAATGTAATGTAATAGAATTAATTAAATAGATCATGAATATATCATGTTACATTAGGTATTATACAATAGTATATTAATGCATGGTAACGTAATGTATACCATTGGTATGTGAACAAGCGCCGCAGAGCAGACAATGCGCGAGTGCTCGTGGTCTTGATGGTGGTGGGTGGTGATGTTGGTGGGGTAGTGTTGGAGGTTTGGTGCGGAGTTGGTGGGGTTCCTATTTAGTGCTGCAAGGCAAGGCTCGCAGCCGCGATTTCCCCCCCGGATCAAAGACTCGCTGCTCCAGCATTTCGGCGGGGTTTTCCTTCAACATCCTTTTTGGATGCTTTCGGTTTAGGGTTCAGCGAGTTCAGGCTTTGCCCAACCCTGCGCGATGCTTCTTTCTTTCAATTTGAGAGTTTGCCTCGGTAGCCCTGTTTTTTTTGCCGTACTTTGTGCCCTTCCCCACTACGATTTGAAGATGTCCAGGATGTTCCCACTCCAGAATTCTCTTTGCTCGAAGAACGTTTGCCACTCGGGGCATGCGATTGCCTTCGCCGTTTGCTAAACTGCACGGCGGTTTGCCACCCCAGCGTTTGAATTTGTAGTGGTCTGCCACCTCGGACCTCCCATTAGTTTTTGGGCCGTTTCACAGTCCAGGGTTTGCAGCTCAGCACTTTCTTCAGGGTCCAATCTCGCATTCCATGCCGCTACCCGCGCGTTTGAGACTTTTCAGGGTTTGGAGCTTGCCATGCCCTTCTGCTGCTGGGGTAAGTTTAGGGTTTAATTGTTTAGCTACCACCCCTCATTACTTTTTAGGTTTCGGGTTTGACCCCGTGCCACCACCGTTGCCGAACGGCTTCTTGTATTCAATCCCCAGCCCTCTCGAGGTTGGAAAGCTCGGGTTTCGCGGCGCCTCGTTCGTGCGATTGCTAAACCCGTTTCGATTTGTGGTTTAGTCGTTGCCCCCTCCTCCTTTCGGGGTTTACGGTCTGCCACTTGCCCCTCCCTTCTGGGGCCTAGGGTTTGTCATCCCTTCGAGCAGGTTTCAGAGTGGAAAGCTTGCGCCTCATGTTCACGGTGTTTTCAGCTGCATATGGTACTTCCCGGATGCCGACGGTGTGGCAGCATTGCAATGTTTCCGGCTTTTCAATGTGAAGGTTTGTCAGAGGCTTCGTGGCTGATGCACCCTGTTTGTGACTTGGGAGTCGGTTCTTGGGGCGTCAGGAGAAGCCTCTGCAAGGTATGATACGCACGTGTACGAGATGTTGTGTTGTGCTGTCACCGTGCAGTTCCGTAAGCGGACCCCTTTTTGTAGTGATGCTTCTTTCTCGTGGTCCCTCGAGTTTTCGGACATCTTTCGCTTTTGGTCCGGGTCGTGCCTTTTTATCTTCGCTTTCACGGTGGTGTTTGTTCGCACATTTCATGTCCGAAACTCGAGTCACTGTTGTTGTCTTCGTGCTACGTTGGGAATTATGTTTTGTCAGCCTCCAGTGCGTTTTCTCGGGTCGCTGCTGCTTGTTTGCTTGATCTTGTTTGTTTCTGGATGTCTCCTGGACAGTTTCATTGGCCAGAGCATTCATGCCCGAAGGATGATGACGTCCATGCTACCGTTGCATCCATGCCCGAAGGATGATCACGTCCATGCAACAGGCAAAGGCTGGCAAAGTTTTTGTTTGGAATTTCGGATCTCAGTGAAATTGGCCAAAAAAAGCAAACTTGTGAATTGGAAAAGCTTCACAAGAGGTCTGGAACAGGTTGTCAGGTCACAAGGCTGCGAATCTTGTTGCAAATCAGAAACGCGTAGCTTCAGAATGCTTCGGACGTGTTGGCGGTGCCTGTCTGTTGCGCAGGATTCAGGAGCCAGGCGGCAAAGTTGTACAACAGGACGAGTGTCAAGCAGAGATATTGCACCCTTGTGCCTGCGCTCGATTTCTACATATCGGGGCCAGGAGAGGAAACAATCCAAGAATGTTTCGCTGCTCGCTGAGCACAGAGCACATCAGAGCACCGTCCAGAGACGAAGATCGAATTTCAAAGCTCCCTCAGGTCGTCGTCTTCCCAGGACGAGCCGGAGCCACAACCTGGAGTTCAGCCGATGAAAAGTGCCGGGAGTGTTGGACATCCTGACACTTGCAAGGCGATGTGTTCGTGTGTCGCCGTGCAAGGGCGTGTCTGCCCTCCCCTGGATTTCTTGGTTTCAGCGCCAGGAGTGCACCTTCTATTTCTTCAGTGCTGCGGGTTGTCGCAATGGAGCCGACTGCACCTTCTGCCACGAGTTTCATCCGAGGACAGCTTGTTGTCGACAATCTGTCACATGTGCTTGTATAGTTTTCGTCAGGAAGAACAACAAGAAGAACAGACGCATCATGCGAACATTGCAGACACGTTCGCTGCTTAAAGCGCCTCACGGTTTCCAGACATGATGCAAGTGCATGGAAGCGCTGGATGCCTTGTGTCGTGCAGCAGGGTCGTTAGTTTTCTGGATGCTCGGCCACTCATTGATGTGCAGTGTATTTCGACGAGGTGAGCATCACGACACTTCACAAGATGGCAAGGAGGTCACGGAGGCAGCACTAGGTGTAGATTTGTCTTGTGAATTGTTGAACGCCGGGGGTTGAGCACAGGACAAGCCTGAGCGCGAGGGCCAAAGCACACCAAGCAGTGAAAGTCAAAGCGCTCCGATCGCGGAGAAGATCGAAAAGGTGAAGGTCCAAGAGAAGAGTGTGCAGGAAATTTCGAGCGAAGGCCGAGATTCCGGTGTTGCAGCTGGTTCAGGGCGGTCGATGCTATTGTGAGCTCTCGGGCTTACTTGGATGCTTGCGCATGCTGCATGGCATCGCAGGTGAAGTGCCCGCTGTCATGAGTTCGGGCGGTGATGGCATGCTTCGGGTGAGCTATGAGAAGGCTAGTGGGGTGCTTGAGGGTTTCCACTACTTTGGGGTGACATGTTTGTACCGGAGGCCACATCGGCTGGGACTCCGGACAGTAGTTCCTCAGCTGCAATAATCGTTGCAGCAGGATGCAGCATTTAGACACAGTAGATCTTCCCACATTTCCTTTCGACCTGGTACTTCCTACAATCCGATCACCACAGGCGGGCCTGTTGCCTTGACGCTCATTGCGGGAGTTCGCACTCACCTGCGTGTTTTGGTTTGCAAGAGCAATGCATCTTGGCATGTCCGTCATGTAGTCTGGTGGCGACAGCCAAGGCCCACAGCTTCACTATGCCAGTGCAGAGGGACAGCGCTGCTTGGAACCTACCCTGGCTTTTGTGGTGCAGCCGCCGCTTCCTGCAGGCGAGTTCCTTTGCTTTCGATCTCGGTCGAGATGGGCCACTTTCCCGCCAGGCTTGAGCGTGGACGCGAAGACCGGTAGTATTAGCGGCATTCCGGAGTCCTCCCAGAAGGCCAGAGATGTGCTTGTGGGCTGCTTTCCTTCTCGTCAGCTGCGATCAGGCAGGTGTGCATGTCGTCACAGTCAAAGTTCCCGAGTCCTGGCTGCACGGGTGTATCTTCGCTGGGAGACCTTGAGCTCTCAATGTATCGACGATGCTGATAAGCTTGCGAAGCATCGGCGAGGCGCAGGGCTATGGTGGCATTGCACTTGGAGACGTTCCTCTGGCGAGCTGCAAGCTATTTCTGACTGCAGCTCCCTTAGACTTCCCCTGAAAGGTTGCAGAACTGTCATGTCATCCCCGAAGCTTGAAAGGTCCGACAGCTGCAGAACTTCGTGCTCACCGGCACGGATTCAACAGAGGTTTCGCTCAGTGCCTCCGATCCCTAGGCCGCTGCAGCGACGTTGACCGGTGCGTGTCATTTCTGGCGGGAAGTGCCACGGATGTCAATGCCGGGGCAGGTGTTGTCACGAGATGAATGCACAGAAGCAAGAGTGAGGCACTCTGTGGAACCCACTCATGTTGCTTTATCAAGTGCCGCATTGGCCGCGTTCCCATGATTCCGGTCAGTGCGAAGCTATTTTGGTATCTTTGTGCACTTTGGAAAGCTGTTGCTGTTCTCGTCCAGCATGGCTGGAGGTTCTAGGTCTCGTGATGGTGCTGCAAAGGTCACTCTTTACAGTTGTTGCAACTAGTTGATGCAGTGGTGTAGGCTCGAGATGTACGGAGAGTCGGCAATGACGTTCCAGATATTGCAGTGTTCTCGAGCTTGGATAGATGCCAGCCAAATCAGAACTGTGATGGTGGTGGCAGCTATTGTCAGTGTATGCGTGTGGAGCTCTGCCAATGGCTGTAGCTCCAGAAAGCTCCCCATGGTCAGATGGCAGTCGGGCGCGCAACACAGTTTCTGTGGGCTCGCTGCCGGCTGTGGCCCGGAGCTTCAAGTTTCAGTTTCATAAACCCGTTCAAGCCATGCCCCACTATGTGGAAATTCCAATGAGCGGCTGGAATAGGATCTCTGTTCGTTCTGCTCTGCACTGCATGGTGAGAGGTCTTGTCTCACTTCCCCTCTGATGTGGACCATTCTATTCTAGTTCGTTTCATTTCGTCGGGGTGGAGTATTTGATTCTCTCAATCTGCTCCAGGCAATCCTTGATGGCAAGACAAGACCTCCACGGTGCACTGTTCAGACTAGTTCCCTCTCCTTGATCTACCTGTGCTGTGTAGTTTCATACGAGCTCGAGCTCGCGGTTCCGAGGAACGGACACTCAACCCGCTGTGGTGCGAGGTCAAAACATGTCCACATGGCCGTACCGTCTGCATGATAAGAAGCAGGATTTTGACTGCATGATCAATCCTCAAGTGAACGAAGCCTCCCCCGAGGAATCGTTCAGCACCCTTTCAGACCGCGCAACTGCAGAGAATGGGATGTCGCAGGGTTGCGCCAGGATCTTTCAGGGCTTGGTTGCGAGGGATCCCGCATGGGGCTATGCGAACTCTTGAGTCAGAACCGCCTCTGCAAGACACTCCCCCGGCTCGTGTTCTGCCTGGCGAGATGGCGCTGCTTGCGTTCCTTTCTCTCAAGGTGCAGTTTAGCAGAGGCGTGGCGGCTATGTGAGCTCGCGAGGCCGATGACATGCCAGCAAGTAGACTCGGCAGACGGACTGAGCATGAGTGTCTGCAAAGCATCGGACTTGCAAGGACTCAGCTTGCCGAAGCCATGAGCACTCTGCCAATGGAGCCGGGCTCCAAGCCTGCAAGCTCTCTAACATACGTTGAGAGGCTGCAAGTGCTGCTACGGATTTCAGAGCTTGCCAGCTGTCTGCAGGATTCACACCGACATCATCGGTGATAAGCTGTGCGCACCCACCAGCTCTGAACCATGTTTCTTTTGACGAAGTGCATACGAAGGTATGCCTCGCGGAATCACAATCAGCTACGCGTCCCGGCATGGAATCCGGCTGGCTCGGCGTCCTGATGCAAGCGTTGGAGGCCTCTGTTGGCTGAGGCCAGGTGTATCAGGGCTCTGCTTCCAATCGATCGCAGATCGCAGCACCCTTAGTCCGATTTATACTGGCAGTGGGTGTGGGGGAGTTGTGATGCAAGAAACTCTCAGGACTGGAACCTTACCCTTCGCCAAGTAAGGAGACCGAAGGAGGCCGCTGGACAGCTGGCGCAAGGCCTCTTTAGATGCGCAGACTGCCCGTCAGATGAAGTCGGCTTCGTCCGCTCCCAACTTGCACACTTCTGAGTTGTTGGAGAGCCGGCAGCCCAGCCTCGTTTTGCTCGGATCGCTCTCTGGCTGTCGCGGTTTGCTGAGATTCTGGTGTTTGTGGGTGCGAGTTGGGAAAAGGGCGAACGTGCCGGATCTCAGGCCGAACCCGACGAGAGCCGCTGGCTCCAGAGCATCCGGACGGTCCGTGCGAGACTTTCTCCAGTTACTCAGAGACCAGTGCAGTCAAGATCTCGTGTCAGCCTCTCGCTTTAGTTATATCGCCGAGGTATCATGGCGCAAGCCAAGCTCGAGGGAAGTACCAGAACTTTGCCAACTCTGCACACATGCGACCCACTTGCATTCCTTGCATTTCTTTTTGCTTGTATCGAGTGCAGGAGGCGCCTAAGACCTGGCTCCCAGGTGCAATGGTTTGGTGCGACACTCTTCAGGCCCAGCTCCAAGCATCGAGTGGCAGCTCAATCTGCGTGGCGGGCGTCGGCCCAAGATGATGCTTCTTCGACGTATTGCAGACCCAGCGTAAAGTTTGAAGCCCAGGATCCATCAGAATGACTTCAAGACGAAGTGGCGCAGACATCATGCCCGACCTCACCAGCCCCGTTCTCAGACATGATGTGGGCAGACGTCGCCACAGCCGCTTGCAACGTGCGGGGAGGTCATTTGACTACATTGCAGTGATCTCAGTTGCCCACCGGCTTCTGTAAGCGATCTTTGCCTGCAAAGTCGATGAGCAGAGGACAATTGCAGCAAAAGCAATGAAGCCTACCAGAACTCGCAATCCACGCCTGAGGAGTTAGCACCAGTGATGTTTGCCAAGTTTTGGCTGAGAGTGAATTGGCAGGATCGGCGGTACGACCGCCGCTACGGGGCGCTGTCAATAGAAACTATTCGGGATGTCAGCCTCTCAATCTGCACATGCTTCGAACTTCCTGCATGCCACTCCTTTCGTGCAGGATCCGGTGAGCTTCCGACGGTGGCCGGGCTGTGAGGGCACACAGGCCTTGAAGCAAGACTTGCTGGCATAAGCTATCTTTCACACTCCTTGCACTGGCAGAGATTCTTTCCCCGCAGTGCATCTGCTTCCTGTCCCTCGTGGCTCACAGCTCATTGGGATGGGCGGCTGTGTGCCCGGAAGACAGCGAGTCTCGCTGTTGTAGTCAGGTATCAAGAGAATGTCCGAACAGTACTGGTAGGACAAAAGCCAGCAAAGCCATAGACAGTAGGCTTGCTTCGGCAGCGCAGTCATGGCGCAGACAGCAGCTGCAGCTGAGGCAGGCGTGTCGAAGTCGCTGTGTCTTCTCTTAGGGCAAGTTTGTCACAGGCTCCATCAGCTCCCTCTAAAGGTCAGAGCGGCAGCGATCTCAGGCAGATGTGATGCCGCACATGATTGCCCAACGGTCACCGACATGTTGACGGATGTGGATCCGAGGAATGGCACGTCCTGCCGGCGGAAAGAAGCTATCTGGCTGCACTTCGCATGGCCTGGTCAAGAGTTCAGAAGAGCCACTTGCCCATTCCCATCCTGTCGGAAGAAGCCCCTTCGTTCCTGAGGAAGGAGGTGCTGCAGCAAATTGCAGCTTTGGTTGACCCTCAGGGCCTGTCGCAGCCTAAGCAATTCGTCGCCTGGCTGAAGCCCCGGCTGCGAGAGCTTTCAGGCATGGCACACGAAGAGTGTTGGCAGCCATGATCTGGTTGGGACTGGAGCCAGAGGTCGGGGAAGCCTCGGCAGATTGCCGTCTCAATCTCTTGAGCCGCTTGAGCTTGAGGATCTCGATGGCTCCAAGGACCAGAACGTGGAGGTCTGGACTGGCTGCTGTAACGGGGGACCTTTACCTTCTAAACTCTTGGGCAGGTTTCCGCCAAAGTTCCAGATGCCGAGAGGGTGCCGCCGTCTTGCCAAAGCGAGCATCCAGCATCCCCAGCATTTTGCATTGAGTGGCAGGCCAGAAGAATAAAGGAGGAGCGCGTGGGAGTCTGGGAGGCCCGGAGCGATAACAACCTGGACCACATTGGACTTCAGTGTTGCTGGTTGAAGTCTTTTCCTTTGAGGGCTTGAAGAAAGCTCGGCTAATAGAGCTGGAGAAGCGGCTGCAATGTCCGCGGCTCAGGCGGTGACAGCTTTTGCTTGTCCAAGGGCGTGAATCCGTCTCTGCTTGCAAAACTTGGCATCCAAGTTATGTCTGAGCAAGACGTGCGCCGGTGTTTGCGGGTCAAACTTGGCAGCTTTGCGGCAGTTTGGTTTGCATGCATCATGGGCCGAACCCTACACAGATTTGATATGTGCCTGCTTCTGACCATCTGCTTGCAGCTCAGGCGACGGAGTTCGCATGGCTTCTTGGGTGCAACACGATCTTTGACGCGAACCATCCGCTAACTTTGGCAATTGCACTTGGGCGCATGCAAGTTGCGAGGTTACCGATGATGACTTACCTCCTGCAGCTTGTCGTAAACCAGCAACTTTCGCACCGAAGACTGAGACATTAATGAGTCTCTTAAAAATCACCACTGCCCCAGGTAACAGCTCTTGAAGGAATGGGAGATTTCGAGGAGTTGCAGGCAAGAGCGTATCCTGGCAAGCATACGACCGAACCCCTCGCGACACTGACAAAAGTCCGAGCCCAGGTTTCAGAAAATCAAGGACACCACTTCCAAGCGCAACCGCTGGATGTCACTGTTCTCGCATGTTCGCGCAGCTGTCCGTGCCAGCCTCGTTGCTTCGTTGACCATTGAACGTGCGTCACCCGTGCCTTTCGTTTTTGGTTGTCGGTCGCCTTGCACATGCGAGCAATCTCGCTCCACGGCAGGGCATGGGGCAGTTCAAATTTCACACTTCTTCGGTAGCATGTAAGACTGCTGCATGCAGGATGAGCAGGCGAGGAAGGCAGCGTTGTTAGCGTCAGGCTTCCTCATGGCGGCTTGGCTGTGGAGTTGTCTGCCAAGGCTTTCACGTACAGCAAGTTCTGCTCTTCTTAGGAGAAGAAAAGATTAGATGAGGCGGACGCAAAGGCAGGCCTTCGTGGATTCGTGCCATCTGAACAGGGCCTTTCGGGACTCATCGCTCACTGAGATCGCGGCCCTAGAGCAGCGGCTCAAGGACTACAAAAAAGCTCAGGCACACGGGCCGTCCACCCGGACTCACCGGAATTCGGAGAGGGCCGAGATCGTCCACACCAGGCAGATGCCATCGAGGCCCGGAAGAAAGAGAACGCCAAAGCTCAGGACGATGGTTCTCTTGCCTGACTGCGCAGTGGTGTAGTGGAGCCTGTAGAGATCGAAGGTTTCCAGTCGAAAACTGTCGAAGGAGAAACGGCAGCAAGGCATTCAGAACACTGCGAAGAAACGTGCGCAGTGGGAAGACGAGACATACAACAACCTGGTGAATCGAATCACGAAGGCGCAATACCTATTTTGCAATGCAAGCTCCTGGAGCGCCATGCAGTCGACTGCCGCAGGCCAGAGACGCCCGAGCAAAGTCTTACTCCAAGGCGAGCAATAGCCTAGAGGCAGAGTTCGGAACTGCACAGATGCGTGTCCTTTGAAAGGAAGGAATGAGCAATGCCATTGAGATTGGAATTCAGCGGCGGCAGAGGTGTTTCGACCAGGCAGAGATTCTGGCATTGTCGGCCCCATGTAGTGAATAATATGAATATGTGCGTTTTTGGTGACACTGTCACAGGCTCTTGAGCGTGAGAATGCTCTCCTGGAAAGCATAGAGGCCGCCAGCCGGACGGCAGAAGAACGCTTGCAGGCGCTGTATGGCGATGCTTCACTGAGCTGGCTTCCGCTTGCTTCGGTGCCAGGTCCGGCGGCAAGAGATAGAAGATGAATGTAGACGAAAGGCCGAAGAGTCGCAGGCACCAAATAACGACAATTTTGCAGTGAAGCCACGGTGCGCAAGCTCGCTGCAGGCTAAGTTCCAGGAGAGGCAGATCAAGATCTACGCCCAGACGCAGGACGCTATGCTGATGCTTTTGCCACGGTTGGACTTAGGGCCCGTCACCACAACCCAAAGCACTGTACGCAGAGTCCAGAGCAATTAGGAAGTTTGACAGAAGCGAGGACTGGGTCGAAAAGAAGCTCGAGGACCACGCGCAGTTCAAGGCCTCGGGGTGTGCTTGGAAGCAGACATCATCTTCGTCCAGACTGAACTGAACGAAAGCGAGCAAGCGGCAGGCGCACTACAAAAGTCGTTGCCAAGCAGTGACCTCAGTGGAGAATGTAGTATGTTGGTGCCAGAATCAGCTGTCGCATGAACTGTGCCAGGCTGGTGAAGATTTTATGAAAGCTCGATCTAAATCAGCTGGTGAGATCACAAAGAAGGCTTGCGTACTTCGTGATTATTCGGCAGCGTAGGTGCCGAAAGCACTCCGAAGCATCACGGTTCTCACCGTGCAGGCGCATGAAAAATGGCGGGCAAACTACAACAAAGTCGTTGCTGCGCAGAGCCAGGCACGATGAAGTTGAATTCTGCGAAGCGTGGTAAAAAGTCCAAACTGTCGCTCCAAACCCTAGACCCGAATGAACCCTAAACCGTAAGGCCGTGAACCCTATACCAAAACTGCCTAAACCATATCGCAAAACTGCCAAGCACCAAAAACTGCCTAAAACCCGGAGTGCTCAAAGCCGATTCGCAGAACAACTCGAACCTCTTGGCGCGACAAGAAGCTGCCAGAGTCCGTGCCGAGGCATGGTGCTTTGAACTGTGACCTTTGCCATACTTTCTATATATGATTCCAGTACATGCTATGTCGTATATACTAAGTATGACTATGTACCAAAGTGCCATAGTGTGGAGTCTATAGTATATAGCAGGAAGTGTGTAGTGTTTATGTTTGCAGTGAAGCACACTTGTGTGAGTAGGGACATAGCCGGTGCAGACGTCGATGCCGCAGCATCTGTCGGTTCGACGCCGCGCCACCGGATTTGAGCTTTTCTCCTAGCCTCCTGCGTCGCCGCCATGACGTCCTTTTCGCAGGCGGAGATTTCGTCGGCCGTCGCGGTGCTCCGTGCGGCCGTCTCCGGTGGCGTCGATGTGGGGATCCATTTTGGCGGATGGACCCCACTCGAACGTCGAACACTTCAGGTGGCGATTGGCGGCTCTGAGGCGGCCGTCGCCGAAGCCAAGGCCAAGGCGGTCCCGGCGAAGGCGCCGGCCAAGCAGCCACCGGTCTTGCCGCCGGCGCAGCCGCGCACTTCGTCGGCGGGCACCACGGTGACTCAGCCGGCTCCTGAGCCGCCCCTGGCAGGCGAGATGGGCGGGGCCTGCGCTGGCATCGCTGGCGGTTCTGGCGCCGGCGCGCCTCGGGATGTCTTGGGCAAGTCTCCACCGCCGGCGCTGTGGCAGAGGATGGGCTTTGAGTCGGAGGCCGACGCCGTGCAGGCGCAGCAGGTCGGCTACACCACTGCCGCGGCGTTTTACCGGGCGCGCTCGGCGGCCGGCAGACAGCAGCGATCGGTGCCGGCGAGCCCGGCCTCCACTGGCGGCCTCATCGGCTACTTGTCCGAGGCGGACCGTCGTGCAGCCGATCAACGCATGGCCGACCTCCAGGCGCAGATCGCTGGAGATTCGAGAAGGGGCACAGGCGGAGGCTGCACGGCGGAGCACATCCACCTCCGGCTCGCAGGACCGGCCCCGGCAGCCTCCCACCGGCGAGCACACCGACAAGCTCCTGGCGGAGTTGGTGGACGAGGCTAAGCTCAGCAGGGTCGTCGGCCCGACGAGACCGCAGACCGGCTGGGACATCTCCACCACGGCCCTGCACCACACGGCCGGCGCAGACCGCCTAGTGCCGCCGCCGCCCGGCCGGCATTTCGTCGCAACGTCCTTCCCCATCCTGCAGGAGGACGAGAACGGCGACACCAAGATCCGCAGAGGCGAGGATTGGCGGCGGGCCGGCCACAACTCGACGGTCCGGGCGCACGACGTGCCCACCCACCACTTCGTCGACGACTACGTCGACATCATTCGTCGGGTGGTCGAGCTGGTCGGACCGGCCCAGGTGGAGGCGTTGAGGGTCTACGGCCATGACCTCCTCAACGCCTACCGGCAGTGGCCGGTGAAGCACCCGGCGCACTCTGGCACGTTCCTCCCGGCGCCGGAGGGGGTCACCATGTGGTTTCACATGGCGATGTGCTTCGGCGCGGCGGCGTCGGTCTGGAATTTCAACCGGACGGCCGACGCACTGCAGGCGCTCAAGCGCGTGCTCCTTTGGGTCGTCTCCGGCCACGACTTCAACGGCGTCGACATCGACGAGCTGGCGGGCGGCGCCTTTGAGGGCATGGCCGAGTTCCTGGCGCAGCTCGGCCTCCAGACGGCCAAGGAGCACATCATCCAGGGAGTGCTGCTGTCGATCCGGCGCGACGGGGTGGTCCTCCAGCCCACTCCGGCGCGGATCAAGAAGATCGTGGCGGCGATCGGTCGGGCACTTGACCAGGACGACCTCCCGCCCGACGTGGCGAGCCGGCTGGCCGGCAAAGTCAACTTCGTCACCCAGTCCACCTTCGGGGCCGTCGGGAAGGCGGCGCTTCAGCCGGTCTACGCCCGGGCGCACGACGCGGCCGCGGCCTCCGACACGAGGCTGTCGGTGGGCCTTCGCGCGGCTTTGACGTCGCTCAGGGCTTTGCTGGCGACGATCCAGCCGAAGATCATCCCCTTCATAGACGATGGCGCACCGGCGGCCATCATCTACGCAGACGCCTTCTACAAACCTGGTGAGACCCGGCACAAGGCGGGCCACATCCCGGCGACGGTCAACATCCGCCCGGGCACAAAGGGGATGAATGGCTGGGGCTACGTCGTCCGGATCGGCGCCCACGTCTTCTATGACCATGCACGGCGTCGCCCCGGCCTACTTCCTCGAGCTCTTTGCGGCGCGCAAGGCGTTCATCTACGTCTTCGAGATCCTGGCGCAGATCTTGTGGCCTTGGTGACGCTGGCGCGGCGCCTCCCACAGAGGTGCATGGCTGGCGTTCATAGACAACGTCGCCGGCCAGTGGGCGCTCACCAAGGGGTACGGGAAAGACCCCACGGTGAACGGCGTTCTCGCCGCCTTCTGGTCCACTGCGGCGTCGGCCGACTGGCTACCCGACTTCCGCGGTGGACGTCGCCGCCGGCCAGCTGTTGGAACTGGCGATCTGAGGGCGGTAGGGCTGCCGGCGCAGAGTGGGAGTGGGGAGCGCCGGGCGGGATGCGGAATGCCTCCCCGGCGCCGTACAGCCCTGCTCTGGCGAATGCGACGGACCCGGCGCGAGAGGCGCTTCATACCAGCCAAAAAGGAAGGGTCCTGTCGTCGTACCGTTTTGGTTCTCAGTCGGTGTCGGCTTTGTCGTGAAGCACACTTGTGTGAGTAGGGACATAGCCGGCGCAGACGTCGATGCCGCAGCATCTGTCGGTTCGACGTCGCGCCACCGGATTTGAGCTCCCACCCTCTCCTCCCATTTATTTATTTGGACTGAAGGGTCGTCGCTCGCTGGCGGGCGACGGGCCGGGATGCGGAATGCGTCCCCGGCGCCGTACAGCCCTGCTCTGGCGAATGCGACGGACCCGGCGCGAGAGGCGCTTCATACCATCCAAAAAGGAAGGGTCCTGTCGTCGTACCGTTTTGGTTCTCAGTCGGTGTCGGCTTTGTCTCGCAAAAGTGTGCGGTTTATGGTGTGTAGTATTTGGTATCTGGTGTCGAGTATCTAGTATCTAGTATACAGTATATAGTTTGTAGTATTAGAACTAGAGAGCCAGAGAGAATGTGGAAAGCAGGAGACGATGGCATTGAAGCTGAAGTGTGCCAATGACGTCCACTCCTTTAAGGAGGCTGCAGCGTCCGAGTGGATCCCCGCACGATTCTAGATGCCAGCAACATGAAGTGGATTAATCTAAGCAGATTGCACCAGAGGTGAAGTACAAGACGTGGGGCGAGCTTCAAAGGCATCCAGCTCTTCCAAGACCGCTTCCGACGGATAATGCCACATCGTTTCTCAGGCGGCGCATGGAGGAGATTCAAAAAGCCAGGGATGTGAGGGCCACGGGCTGCCGCAGCTTTCCGTTGCATCTTGCGAGTTCTCGTTCAACGAAGGCCCAGTCGCAAGCTTTGGTCATCAAGATTGCAGAGGGTCAAGCCAAGGCCGAAGATGGAAGATCCTTTCAGACCCAACTTCTCAAGTGCTTCGACAGATTCAATCGAGTTAAGCTTGATTTGGTAGAGCCTCAGTGTTGGAACAAGCAGACACCGAATACTAGATGGCGAGCTCAGATGAACAGCTGCAGAGTGCTTGTGACGGGGACTGCATCACGACCCTTGCCAGTGCAGCTCTTCCCATGCCAGAGGCTCGTGCAAGAGAGGAAGGAGCCATGGAGGTAAAGAACCGCAGACAAAGACTAGGAGCGGACACGCTGGCTCGGCGCTGAAACGTCTGAGCACTTTATCTGACTTTGACATGGCGCTCGTGGCTCGTGACGTGCTGTGAGGCTCTGAACGACCGCGCCAAGGAAGGTTTCATCAAGATCAAGTGTGAGCCAGATGAAAGGCCGATGCTCCGAGCCTCTTGTTCCCTTTTTCCAGCGTGCTCCTGAAAATTGTGCGCAGGAGGATCATCAAGGTAATGAGCGACCTCGGCTTCGAAATGCCCAGATTGCCAGATGAGGTACACTCTACCGACTCTACCGTGCCTTCACAGGGCCATGGTCTGGTGTTTGGCACATTCGCCGCAGGATGAGGACGAGGAGGGTGAGAAGAAGGCGTTCTGAAGGAGTCAGGCAGATGCTGCGGCTTGGCCTGTTCAAGTTCAGCTTTGGAAATATCGCAACCACGTTTTGGTGACCTAGTGCATCTAATGCTTTCGTGAAGAGCCGCGACTTTCTGGGCTTCCGAGGATGCTGAAGGCACAGCTTGACTAGCCGCGCCCCAAAGTGTTTCACCTGGTCATGGCCGAAGTTGCATGGTCACCCAGAGATGAAAGCTACATGCTCCGCGTGGGGAAAAGAAGGGATTCTGCAGACTAGTATCGTCTCATGCCTTGAGACTAGGCAATTCGCAGGCTTGGTTCTCCCTGATTTTCAGCATCCAGCTGTGTCGTGTGCATGTACCTAGAGCATGAACTTGAACTTCAAGCACAAGCGTTTCAGCTGTCTAACGACCAGTCTGGTGCACTCGATCAGGCCAGCTACTGGCGGCACCTGATCGAGGATAGCTCTCGAGGGAAGAAGGCCCCATCGATTGACCTCGCTGAGTTTCTGTTGTAGTCTCGTCAGAGCTGAGATTTCACGACGCAATGTAAGCCAAGATCCGTCTTTGGCCTCTGCCACTGCATCATGATGCTGAAGCTGCTGTCAAGTTAACTGACTTTGGCAGGAGAGTAGGAGGCCCCACTGCGCAAAGAAACCCCAGGAACAAACGAACCCAGAAAGCTCACGAAGTCCACCGCTGGCCGTTCCGACAGTAGTAGACGGCGGGCAATCCTCAAGCCCTGCTGTGACAGGGATAGGTGGAAAGAAGAAATGAGGATTCGGGAGAACACTCTGTCGAAACTGTGGATGCTCAAAACACCGTCGATGGCGATCACAAGGAAGGAAACCTCGTCTCTCTCGTCGGGCTTAGGGAAGCAGCCCTTTTGAAATCTCTTGGGAAAGAAAGCATTGTGCTTCAAAGAACAGTGCAGAAGCGAGTGTCGAAGTCATGTTCCATTATGCCAGTTGGTTGGTTTCCTTAAGTCTAAGCACGGGTAGCCTGTTTGGTCTCCTAAAATCATACTAATTCGCAGTGCTTTTGATCGCCCTGACCGTTGAAATTTCGCTTTTTCTGCACGGCCAGAGCACGGGTGTTTCGCTGCCGTTTCGGATAGTTCTCGAGGTTCTCTTCCTTTAAGAAGTTCTCTCGCATGTTTTGCACATTTTGAAGCTAACGGTGGAGTTGATGAAGGATGGTTCATTGACTCACTGAGCCCTTCAAGGAGTCATTGCGTGCAGCGAGCCAACGACCCCTGGTTTGGGATCCTGCACCTGAGCCATCCCGGGCATCCAGAGTTTTTGCTCCCCTAAACAGCGGTGGCCGGCAATGTTCCTGGACTCTGAAGTCTTACATGGTCAAGAATGCCCGGTGTTTTAAGCCTGCTGCACGCACGCGGCAGAGAATACCCAACCAAGAATGAGAGAGGAAAGAGGAACGGTGAGCGGTTTTGGTGCTGCAGGAAAGGCTCGTACTTGGATTTGGATGCGGAAGATTAATAAGGCATGCCGAGGAAAGCGGCGGAAGTGTTTGTGCAACGGCTATGCGTTGCACCAAAAAGCGAAGCGCCACCATCTACGCCGAGTGAGCTTGCATTGACCTCTGCCAGGTTCGAAGAGCCATCAGGTACGAAGTCACCTTGCGAGAGGATCCAGAGGCGATGTCTCCAGCCTGCGCTTTTCGTGTTGCTTGGGAGCGACCACACCAGGATACGAATGGAGCTCGGATCCACGACACACGCAACGAGGGGTGCCTCGTGGAAATGCTGGGTAAGAAGAAGCGCCTTCGATGCAAGCGCTTCACAGGGTATCTTGTGGAATTTCGGGAATTGACATTCGAGTCTCCCCATCGTCATAACAACAAGCCCTTCCGTCGAAATGCATTCGTCACATCTCCAGGTGGGTGGGCCACCAACATTACGATCCTCTGGTGCAGCGCTGGCCGCATGGTGATGCGAAGCTCTACCACTTGAGTCGGCACAGGACTTCCTGCACGAACACAGAAAGCTTGAAACTCAGCCATTTAACACAGCTTTTGAGCAGGATCACTGCAGAGCCAGATGAAGACAATCGCGAGATGCGCAAGTGCAAGCCTTGACTGAGAGACGAGACTCAGAGTTGTTGAAAGTCTAGCGAGAAGGTGTGACTGTGTGACGTGGCCCAGGAAGAAGCAAACCAGAACGGACACTCACATTTCTGAGAGTCGGGAGCCACTCCGCTTAAGGCGCGACGACTAACACTTCCAGTAGCAAGAGAAGTCCTATGGTGCCTCTGGAAGTTGAGAAGTTGGGTCTTATTGTCCAGTGTGCCTAAGCCGCATCGTCAGTGAACGTCTGAACATCGAGCAGCTTAGCAGGCTTAGCAACGTCTCACGGGTCTGTGTCCTCAAGGGACTGTACAGGCCCAAAGGTTCAGCCAAAGGCGCAAAGGGGCAGCCTTGGAAGCCGAGGGACAAAAAGAGAGCCGCACATCGTGCTGAGGCTTGCTTGCATGTTGGCGAATACGTTTGAGAGTTAACTGGTCGTCGCTTTTTCTCGAGGAGGCAAGATGGAAGTGATTCCTAAGCTCACCTCCGCCACTCCAGACTAGCAGGAAACATGTAAGGACGCAACGGAGCAAGGGGGCTGGACATCGCAGGACGAAGACATCAAAACCTAGTGCTCAAATGTTTTCCTTTGCTCGGGCTCGGCTGCCCCAAACGGCGTTTGCAGAAGCCTCAGCCAAGATCGACTTCGGCCAATTGTGCTGTCCACATGAAGATCTGACAAAATTCTGCCAGGGTGCTTGCAGATGGTTTTTCTGTGTCTTGTGATACAAGCCAAGTGTCGTGGTGATGGTAGGGTCGCAGTGCTTCTGTTCCAGCTTGTTTCTCATATGCCCTCTGACTGTCAAGACAGCTTCTTTGACGCTCCTATCATTGCAACCATGCCGCTGACATGATAGCAGGTTGTGCAGGAAGCCTGGCAGTGCATGCTGCTGGGCTCCCGTGCATTCGGTACAAAACGCGTCAGGCCCCGTTTGGGCCGGGCTGGGCAGAGCTACAGTAGCTCGCTTTCTGGATCTTGCTAGCTCAGAATGTCAACATCGCCGGCCTGGCTTCTTGCTATCACCAAAAAAACTCACCTAATTGCGGCGCCAAACTGAAGTCATTCGAGCCTCGCCTCCTCTCCGGTCCATGATGTGGCAGCGGATACTTTGCAGAAACGACAGTGTCTACACAGCAGAGCTGCAGGTGTCAGCTTCCGCAGGGTTCGAAACTTGTTTCGGGAACAACACCACACATCGGGCCGGGCGAACGAGCAAATCGGCTCGAGCCGGGTCCAGGGGCGATTTTGCAGCGGTGCGTGTTGGCTCAAGATATCAGCCCATCTCGCCTTCTGAGATTCTGGGCTTTCTGGAATCCCTCGTTTCAGTGTACGTTTTTTACAGCCACTCGCTCCTTCAGGGTTGAGTTTTTGGAAAGCAGTCACTCTTTGTATGGTTCAATTTTAGGGTTTGTTACAACGAAACGCTTCGTTTAGGATTTTGGTAGTATGCAGTACTCAGCGTTGTAGGGTAGTGGGTTTGTCGCCCACTCTACCCTACCAGGGTTTGGGTTTTTGTCAACAGTCACTCCTGCTAGGGTGAGTGTGTGGGGCAACCACTCACTCGAATCAGCCACTCTTTCCGGAATGGCACTCCTTGCTGTGTTTTCCGAGCTCGTCCGGAACGCTAGCTGAGCCGAGCAGCGGCCTAGCACATCCGCTTCACCCCCCCGCTGATCGGTATCGTAGATGCACGACGCTCAGCGGATCTTGCTTCTTAACCCTCATCCAGAACATGTGAGCCGTTGCAGGGTTTTGGCGGGAATCTGCCGTGCAGTGCAGGACTTGCAATCACAGCTTCCAGCTGATCGACTTCAGAGCCCCCGGACCCGACCTAGTGCTCTAAGCCTTGGACCTCAAAAGGATTCCGTCCCTTGCAGTGTGCGAAGCATCAGCCTGGGAGGCAACGGCGACGGTCGCGTGGGCGCATCATCCAGCTGAAGGAGACTCACTACGAGCCGAAACCAGAGGCAAGCGCACCCCTGCTGCCACCGCGACCACTGCCCCACCACGAGGACCTAGCCTAGTGAAAACCTCAGATCTTCAGAACAGGCTCCAGGACCACGCTTGGACTGGAAGTTGCTGGCTCCAAGTCTTCATGTCAAAGCATGACAACGCCTGGAAGGGCTATCAGTCTTTGCCGATGTCACTGCTGGCTTCGGGGCCGATACGGCGAGTGCTGAGCACAAGGTCGGCCGAGGCTGCCCGTGTCCCTGCGCTGAATGCTGTCAGTTTTGCATCATGTCTTCCTGCCGCAGGCCGGGCGTCTTGCTGGAGCGATCGACTGGGAACGGTACAAGTGTGATGTCAAGGACATTGCGCCCGCTAAGGAAAATGTTACTCCACGCATGTGCATCGCAGTGAAGCTTCAGGGTGTCCGCTGGCACGCTAGCGGCTGGAAGCTGAGACGAGACCTGACAAGCAAGTGCACCTGCTTGAGATAAACTGCAGCCTCTGAGTGCGAGGCGCTTGGCGAGTACTGTTTAACAAAAAGGACTACGAACACAACTTCTTTGTAAAGTTCGCGCCTCAAAGAGTCGAAGACTCTGAGGGCACAGGCCTTCCTTCAAGCTTGCTGTGTTTGTTTCTTTGGAAGGTGCAGCTGCTACTTCAGAGTGCCAATTTATGGGTACCGAACTCTGGTTGCGATGTGCTTCGAGCAGTCCCGAGATCAGTGCTTGCAGGTTTGACCGTGCCAAAGAGCTGGCAATTGCATACAGACGGTACTGTCCTTAAATGTGCACTTCTATGCGTTAGCATGCATCCAAGATTCATGCGAGTGATATAGCGACTTCGGTAGGATTGCAGTCATTTGGAGTTGGCGTCTGGCTCGTGCAAGGCGGCTGGAATCAGAGTGGGACGAGCAGCTGAGAATCTGGGCGCTTGTCCCGGAATCCCTCATGTTTGATCATGTTTTCTGCTGGGAAAGTTTAGCTCGAATATGCTGGAATACTCTTGGCTCGAGCCACGCTAGATTAGCTTATGTTGTACCAAGGCGGATCTAGACGAAAAGCGCGAGCAACAGCGAGCAGCGAGGTGTTCACCTCAGGAGTGAGTAGTGGTTGTACCAGCCGCCCCTCCCTCTCAAAAATCGTAGCCGCAAAGGCCCCCCCCTGCGTGCTGCCTCTACGTGCAATACTCACTCGACCGGCCGTGTGTTTGATCCCCTGCCAGGCTCTGAATTCGAGCCTGAACTTAAACTCGCGTGTGCATTGCTCTCGCCGTAGCTGCGCTCACTAGATCCATCTCGGGAGAATCAGAAAGTGCTTTCTGCGTTCCCTGCTGCCAGTTGCTCTTACATGCTAAACGCACAGCAGCACATTGAGGCGAGCTGAGCGAGCGCTGATGATGGAGCAACAGGAGCAGACACACATGGTTGCTCTTTCAGATCACGCCGTCGTACTGTCAGGACCCTGCAGAGCGGTCAATCTATGGCACAGAGGACGTTCGCACATGGAGACACGCAACGGTAGTCTCACTTGCCACCGCATGGAGCGATCCAAACGATGCCACAGCCACTGCTGCTGACCAGGAAAATCCAAGCACGGTAGACGTTTGAACAGCAGGTGAAGCACATCAGCGTCCCCTATCATTGCCATGTGGGTTTAGTACCTTTGAAATCAGATCTCCAGTTGCAGGATGAGCCGACGGCATCGCTCGAGGCGCCAAAGCCGGACAGAACTCTCCGGTAAACCTTCCCTCGGCCCTCGAGAGCAAAAGATGCATCGACGAAGCTGCTGTTCCCTCCTTATGCTATGGTGCCGGATAGCTGGTAAGACAATAAAGTTCAAAATCCAAGGAAGATTGGCTTTCAGTTTCCAGATAAGACGACGTCGGTTGAACATTAAACGCACATCGGCTGAGTTGAGCAAAAGAAAGGTGATGCTAGTTGAAAATCAAGGAAACCGCTTGAGCATCCCTTGAACGTCGGGTGTGCGTTCAATTTGAAGAAAGAAGGGGTGTTGCATGGAGTGAAGTGCTCGGAGCGCTCTTATTAGTCCCGGATATCCAAAAATCAGAGCCTGAACATGAAAACACTTACACACCCCATCGAGCCTGCCCCGTCCGTCTTGAGGTGAGCAGTCGCACATGTTTCGGCAATTGTTCAGCGAGTTGTCGACTGCTTTAGCTTGAGTTTTTGGCCCGCTCAAGGGGCCTACCCTGCAAAAAGCTCGCTCCACGTAACCCGTTTGTTTTTTTTGGCGAGGTTCTCTATAACCATACATATCTACTGCGGTTTGATTTGCAGTTCGGTTGCGCTTTGATTTTTTGGGATGGTTTAGAGGGTTGGATTTAGCTCTGAATCGTTGCATAACCCTAAACCCCATCTCTCAGCCCGAAGCCGTCCTACCCCTGAAGCCTGCTCTGATCTGAGGCCTCCGAGCTTTGGCTTCAGTTCCAACAGTGCTGGTATTATACAGCTAGACACCAGGGACAGCAGTCAGGTCGTCGTTTCAGATTGCATCAGTTGGAGTCGATGCAGGCTGGTTATAAGTTCAGAAGAGATCTCATGACCGCATTACATGTATGTATCTACGATTTGACATTATGTACTCCGTATACACATATTGTTTATACACATGCACACACACACACGCACATTATATGTGCAGCGCGTCATCTAAGTAGATAGGTGCCTTGCTCCCGCAGTCGAAGCATGGCCTTGTCGAGACTCTGTCGAACAAGGAGTCCCCTTCCTGCCAGTGAGCATCTAATTTGAGGATCCCAGCTTGATCTTTCAATGCGATCGCATGGACAGCTGTGACGCGGTACCTTTGCTATCCCATTTTACGTTGCAAGTTGTCGGGGCCATAACTGGTGATGTTATATGTACAGTGGACGCCGATGGATCCTGGTATTTGCAAGATCTGAAAGTTGCCATTCAAAGCGTGTCTGGCATACCTACACATGAGCAGAGATTGCTGCAAGTTGGGGGAAAGCCAATCGCAAACGAAGACAGGCACTTGTCAGAGATTTTAAAGTGCCACAGTGACTGGAGCATCGCCCCAAAGGTCTCTATCGGCCTTGTTCGTGCAGATGCAGAGAGGACAGCCGCACTGGAGCACTTGGCCATCGGTGGATCCCTGACGCAGTTGAAGGAGAGCTACCGGGGAGACCCGGAAGTTGTCCTGACAGCCGTGCAAAACAACGGCAGTGCCTTTCGGCACGCTTCCGACCGATTGCGGAGTGACAAGGATTTCTTGCTAGCTGCAATTGAGAGAAGTTGCGATGTTCTTTGCTATGTTTCAGACGAGTGGAGATGGAACCGTGATTTCGTTTTGGAAGCCATTCACCGCAACGGCACGGTGCCTTGGCAAGCAATGTAGCATGAAGCTTTGGTGCAGTTTCATGGTTGGCACATGTTGGCCGTCGGGGAAGGAAGTTGATAGTGTTTGATGGTGCTTCCCAGCTCAGGCTCTCTGCTACGCATCGACTGAGCTTCGAAGCGATCGGAACTTCATTCTAGCGGCCGTCGAGCGCAATGGTATGGCGCTCTGCTATGCAGACATGGAGCTGCGAAGAGACCGGAACTTTGCACTCGTGGCAGTGCGCAAGAGTGGTCTCGCTCTCCGATACGTGTCGGAGCAGTTGCAGCGAGAGCGGGACTTCGTCCTGTCTGCAGTGCAATTAAATTCTGAGGCACTTCGATATGCAGAGGAAGATTTTCGCTGTGACCCGGAACTGGTCCTCGCGGCAGTCCAAAATGATGGAACAGCCCTTGGATTCGCATCGGAAGCCTTGCGCTCAGATCCTTCCTTCGTGCGCAAAGCACTCCAGCGCAACGGAACTGCTTTGCCCTACGTGGCCGAAGACCTGAGGGAGGATAGGCAATTTCTCATGAAGACCTTGATGCTCAATGGCGACGTGCTGAAGCATGCAGCAGAAGCATTTCGCCGCGATCCAGAAGTCGTCTTAAAAGCCATCAGCAGCAATGGAGCTGCCATGCGCTATGCATCGCAGTCCCTCCAGTTAGATCTCAGCTTCGTCCTTCGAGCTGCAGAGACGAATGCTGCCTCTCTGCAGTATGTGATGGAGGACTTTTGGCACAAGAGGGACTTTGTCATGAAAGCAGTGGAGGCGCTTCACTTGGGTGGCTTGGCCTACCTTGCTGTGCCGAAACCTGTGACCTGTTCAGGTCACCGGATCGGCACTTCGCTTTGCCAGCCCAGAGCTCTTGAAGTGCCGTGACTTTCTGATTTCTGCAGTTCGAAGGCATGACGGGGCTGCATGCCGCTTCTTAGCAGGGTTGATGGGTCAAGAGCGCAGGAACAGCTCAGCCCTCCACTTTGCCCCCGATGAGATTCGCGCTGATCCAGAGGCCGGTTGAGTCGGCAGAAGATGGCCCTGCACTGCCCTGGAGCCTCACAGGTCGTACTGGCTGCAGTTCAAGAGAACAGCCAAATCTTGAACAGTGTTGATGAGGCCAGGGCGCGGACTGCTAGGGGCCTACCCACCTCAGCCATGAGTGTTCGGGTTGCAGGGCTTTCGGCGTGACCGGGACTTCATCCTCTCTGCTGTTCAGCGGAATGGTACCGCCCTGGCATATGCATCTCGGCAGCATGTGACGAACGACAGACAGGCGGGTGCAAGGACCCATTTCAGACGGATTGATGATTGACATGCCCTTGTCAAGGCCGAAGCCTGCCTCCGCGCCGACCGCGAGGCAGGCAAGAAGCAGCAGATGATCGGGTGCGAGATTCCGTCCCGCCAAGGTGGTCCTGGCAGCAGTGCAGAGTGTCGGAAGCAAAGACGGAAACGAAAATCTTCAGAGTTCCCACGGGTCGCTTCTTCAGCCACTGCCGGTCGAATCTCCAAGGACGGGGCAGCGCTCTCCTTTGCTTCCGAGGCCGAGTCTGAGCCCGTGACCCGAAGCTTTCAGGACGGTGCAGCTCCGTCGCAGGTGCTTCAGATGGATCGGAGCTTCGTGCTTGCAGCTGTCGGTCGGATGCTCGCCGCCATCGCCATCTCCCCAATCTCACGGTGTTTAAGCTCTCCAGAGCCCTGCGAGGTCGCAACAGCAAGGCCGGGCGGGGACGTCTTGTGCTACTTGCTGACTTTCCGACATTACTTGAGAGCAGCCTCTCTCGTGATTGCTTTTGTCTTACACGGTGACGGGCTTAGGGACTTATGAGTCGAGGGATGCTGACTATTTAATGAGAGGCACTTCTGTTTGCAGTTGGCATCTTAGTTATCCCGAGCCGGGTGCATGTGCCTGTGCATGGGCGGTGCTCCAACAGCACCAAGGCCTCCGAGTGGCGCGAAGACTTTGCCTTCGCTCTCGAGGCGGTTGGAAGGCGCACCCCTAATAGAACTCTCCTGTGATCTGACGACCTGGGCATGCAAGAAGAGTGCAGGAATGCATCGTCGTTGCTCTTCTTGCCACGCTTCCAGGAGGCCTTGACATGGAGTTTTCAAACATCCGAGCTGAGCCCCTAAACCTTAAACCCCAAACCCTAAACCAAAAACCCTAAACCCTAAACCGTGAAATCCGCAGGATCATGAATTTTTACTAGCGGCCGTGGCCCGGAATGGTGACACCTTTCGGTATGTCGACGAGCCTGAGCCTCACATCATCTGACACCATTGATCCCCTTCTTCAAGCTCTTCGTACAGGCTCTGTAGGCTCTTTCTTCTGCACTCGAGGCTTTTCCAGAATGACCAACAACTAATTCTTGCAGCCGTCGAATCTGCATTTGCCTCAGACCTTTCGGTGAAACCATTTGTGAGTACATTGTCTGCAGTGACATTTTGGCGACTGGACCTTGAGCACTTTTCCTGTCGACTTGTGTGGAAGGCCTGACAGCAGGCAGTTGTGTTGAGCGTAGAAGCCCTGTTGTTGCAGTGCGGCTAGGGCAATTCGAGCACGCGCGACCCAAGCACTTGAGGCGTTCCGGGCTTGTGGACTTCGGCATTCGTTCGGTCTTCAGGGCTCGGGGGGTTTAAGGTTGGGGTCTCGTTTCTCCAGGATCTTGTTGGATTTAGTCGGCTCGAGTAGGGTTTGGGTCTTGAGGGGTTGCGGGCTTCAAGGTTAACGTCACGGAGTTCAGGATTTGCAAAAGGAGTCTTGGGAGTTTCAGGTTTGGGGATGTGATAAGACAAGGAGAGTTCGGGTCTTCAGGGCATTAGGGTTGAGAGTTTTGGGCTTTAGACTCAGAGTTTAGGCTTATGGGTCTAAGGCTTTCTGGGGTTGAGGGTCTTACGGTTTCGGGTTTTGGGTTTTTCAAGCGGCTGTTAAGTTAGAAGTTCCAAGGTTTTGGCTTCAGCATTTGGGGGTTTTGGGTATGAACAACTAAGGAGAGCAGGTTTCTGTAGCGCCGTTTCGGGTTCAGCGCTTGAGAAAGTCATGCGTTTGGATTTTCGGGTTTAGAGGCTTGGAAGCTGCGCTGTTGGTGGGCGAGTCCGAGCGGCGGGTGCGCGAATGGAAGGTGCTCTAAATCCGGCTTTTGCAGTAGGCGAGAATCCTACACCGCGGTTGTTAGCGGCCGCCTTGTGCGAACCCTTCGGCTGGTGCACGAATCCACTATTTCCAGTGTGCGAATCGGCTTCCTACCGTTGTGTGGGGGGCCTGGAACGATGAGCTCGGTGGACCCTTCGTCGGAGGGTTCTGTAGTTAATCAATCCAGCATGGATTTCTCATTTTCTCAAGCAAGTTCAACCAGTGAACCGACAAAGAGAGCAAGTTACTTCCTGGCCTTGCCAGGCAGCATCATGAGTTAAACGAAGTTCACTTGCGTTTAGTTTGACGGCTTGGCCCCTCCAGATCGAACCGAACCGTTCTGGCGGACTGTGCCAGGACTTCCCAAATTCTGAAATGACAGGGAAATGCTTCAGTAGAATAGTTGAAGCTTTCCTTCCCAAGCACTCTGCTAACAAATTCGGAGCCCCTTCCAGGTTTGGACATGTTTGGACTCAGGAATGGCACCCAAGCGTTCGGCACCGATACGTAACATGTTACTGTGCTGGTGTTGTTGTGAACAATGCAGGGTGAGGCATGTCGAATCTGTGTTAGCTACGTAGGTGTGTGCCGTGTCTGCGGGCAGGGTAGGTGGGTGGAGGCGGTACAACTCCCATGCAGAGAATCAGGGCAGATCAAATCACAGCGTCTTGGGTTGCCGGCTTTGCTGAGGATGGGGCAGCCCTGCGCTACGTAGACGAAGCGCTGCGCGGTGACAGGGAGTTTGTATTGAATGCCCTTCAGCGAAACGCTGAGGTGCAGATGAGCGCGCTGTTTCGTAAACGGATGTTCCTATTACATCCATCGTGCGGCGCAGGTGTTGCCATACGTTGTTGATTACTTACGGGAGGCAAGGCACGTGCCCGTGTACTAGTGCTGCTCGTCCATGTCAGTTGCAGCACGGTGTGGCAAAGATCGTCTTGCAGGATCCGTCCTTCATGTTGCATGCTCTACAAAGAAACTCTCGGCCTGGTTCATAGCCCGTACTGCATCATCTGAGTTGGGCACTGCTTTTGCCTTTGCGCTCGTTGTTTACTGTCTCCCCGGCCCAGGGTTTTCGAATTTGTTGATGCCAGCCTGCGGCTCCGGCCTCATTCTTTCACGCCTGCAGCCTGCATGCGATGTCCTGCAAGGGAATGCAAGCAGCTCAGGCGCAACTCTGACTTCATGTTGCAGGCTCTACAGGCCAACAGCAACATCTTACAGTCCGTCAGCAAAGATCTTTGGCAGGAGATTGCGAAGTTCCTAAAACCGGATAAGTGACGGCCCTCTGCCTTTTGTCAATTGTTTCCGGAGGACCCGGAGTTTGTTCGAGACGTTTGATGCTCAGTCACTTGTCATCTACACGGTGTCCTGGGCATAACTCTTTGATCTGCAGGCCGCCAAGGCTTCGGGAGCAGCCTTGCAGTGTGCGTCTCCGGACCTGCAGAAGGAGCTTGATGCGATCGCCATGGTCCATCTTATGACTCTATGAAGTGTGCCGAGTTGACAGGACAGAGACTTCATCATCTCTGTCACCTGCTCAGCGGGTAACTTGCGTGTTTGGTCTGACTTGAAAGGTGCGATGCACACAGCTAGCGAAAGTGTGCAATCAGGCCATGACTCAAGCAGGTGTGTCTCGAAAGACTACCTTAGAAACTTCAAGTCGTGTCACGGTCTAGATCGGTCGGGAAAGTTGAGGCCCTTCTCTCGATTACAATGTGCCCAACATGAACTTGTCCACTTGCACTTGTTGTATCGTCTTGCAACTTGGAAGGCGTCTTTTCTTCATCAGTCAAGTCTGGCTCTGCCAAGTGAGGTGCTGAAAACGAATGGAATGGCACTGCCCCACATTGCAGAGGATCTTCGTCAAGACCAGGAGGTCTTGTTCAATCGTGGAGCACTTGGTGCTTTTAGACATCCTGGTTTGAGAGGTGGCACTTGCGGCAGTGCACAGCCGGCCTGAAGCAATGCGCTACGTCCACGAGGCCAAGACAGCACTTCGGCAAGGGTTTCGACCGGAAGCCTGCTAAAGTCTTTGGTCGAGCAGGATCTGCGTCGAAGCCGGGAATTCATTCTGAAGGCACTGAGAAGGCCGGGATCTTACCGAGGTCAAACACAACACGAAGGCATCAGCCATGTGGTTTGCCGAGGGCAGGCGCGGCGCTTGCCTATGCTCCTCAGCAGTTTCGCAAAGACCGCGAGGCCAGGCTCAGCAAATCAGTTGCATTCGGTCGGTACACATGCATTCCACGATTGTGATTTTAGTACTGGTAGGCTGTGCTTGCGGCTGTTCAGCACGACGGCATTGCTCTGGCCTATGCCGCAGCCGACTTGCAAAGCAACCGCGAGGCACCTCAGCCTGCACATGCTCTATTCTGCAATGCGGCAAGATTCGCACTGCCACATGCCACATTCGCTCCTTGACAAAGAGATGACCAGGTGGCACTGGCTGCTGTAGCTCGGAATGTGCGAGCAGCCGTGGATTCTTCCCTCTGGGAGGAGTCGAGAACTAGTCGCAGCTTGTTCCGAGAAAGCAGGATAATCCATGACTCTGCGAACTGCTGCAGGATCGCAACTTTGCCTTGGCCGCCATCGAGCGAAATAGCGAGGTGTGGCGTGCCTGATGCTTTGGCTTGCCAAGCCTGTATCTGTGTCACCACTCCAACGCAGAAGATGCTCTTGTACTGTAGCAGATTAGGGATCTTTTGGCTGTTCTTCATGGTTTCGCAGCAGAGGCAGGAGAGAGACCTTGACATGTTTTGGGAGTGATCAGGCGCTGCTGAGATGTCCGGAGCAGCTGCAAGAGGCGAGCGCACGTGCAGCTTTGCATTTTTCAGTTTTAAGAGAAGCTTGTGGTTCCCTGGTCGCAGCCCCTTAACCTCCTTGAGCGTCATGCTGTCAGTCTGCTGTGCAGGATCGCATGTTCCTGTACGATGCCGTTCAGAGGAAATCTTGGGCTTGCAAGTGTAATGTTCGTGCTCTGTTCGACTCGGGCTCCAACTTGAACCGTTCTTGTGAGGAACGGTGATGTGCTGCGATTCACCGATGAGATCTTCCGACCCGCCCTCAATATTTCCAGCAGCAACAACTCCCTGACAACAGCGTGTTATCACCCTTTAGACGAAACGGTGCGATTGACAAGGCTACGATCACTCACTTGTTCTGGCTGCAATTCAGAATGCCTGGCTCTCTGTCACTTCAAGTCTTTCAAGAATTGTTCAAGAAGTCCATGTACGATGAATCCGAACAGGATGGCACTGCGTTGCGTTATGCCGGCGAGTTCATGCGCCAAGATCGACAATTTGTCCTCGAGGCATTGAGCCTGGTCCTCGCCATATTTGCAGGGGTGCAGACCATGACCCCAGCACACCCCACCACGACGATGTGCTTGTAACGGTTGAAACGAAGCACCTCCATCCCAGGTCACAACGCAATGGCGTTGCCGTATGTTCCAGAGGAGCGAGCTTAACCTCAAAGCTTCAATGCTGAGTGAACTCTTTTCCTTGCCACGGTGTTGGAGCAGAGGAGCTCTGGTCTGATCGCTCGTTTCTACTCGCGGCAGCTCGCCGAAACCCAGATGCGTTGCTACAAGTCGACGAGGCTCCTCAAATTCCCCTGAGCCCTGCTCTGGATGTGCTGCCCGTGAAGAGTCCGCCGTGGCAGGAAATCAGGGCCGACTGGAACTTCATGTTGGCCGCAGTCGGTGAGCGGGGTCAAGCACTGGCATCCTGTGCTGGCTGCTTACAGCGCATTACCACGTCTGCTTGCAGTTACCTCTGGAGAGATCTTCAGAGATGTTCACCAAGGCGACAAGCTTGCTTGCTGATTCCGACTTCTTACTCCAAGCGGTGGAGGCTTGCTAAGTTGCCTTTCGGAACCACTCCTGCCTGGCACAACGGTCAACAGGCCAGCGCAGAGGCTCTCATTTACGTGCCCGACAAGTTTAGAAAGGCAGGCTGACACATGAAAGGGGACGACGCATGGTTTCAATATCCAGGACGCGGATTTCGTCCTTGCCTCGGCACGGCTGGCCGCATTGCTGATTACAAACTCCATCGGACACCTGTATGTAAGCGGCCTTCTCCTGTGAAATCATTCTGGCCTTGCTGCGAAGGCGGGCATAAGGTGCTTGCCACTGACAACCTAAATTACTGCTGCGGTTCGGAGTCGACCATGGGTTCATCTTCTCCGGGCGATCCCTTGTTGTCCAACCTAAGGTTTTGTCGGCAGTCAAGAGGAATGGTGCGGCTCTTCGCTATGTTGTGTCTTGCCTGCATGTGCAAGGAATTTCGTGCTTAGCACTGCGGCTCGCCAAATGCAATGGTTCCACGTTGCCCAGCCTCCTCGCTTCAAACTCAGGAGGATGCCTTCAGGGGCGAGGAGGAAATTGTGCTCACTGCTTTGCAGCGCAAGCCGGAGGCTGGATGACAGTGGGAAAGTTTCAGAGTGGGAAAGTTTCAGAAGGGCGTGTGGTTGCATGGAGGGGTATCGCGGTGCTAGGAATTCGTGCGTGGTCGGTACCTGGTAAGTGACGGCAGGCGCTGCGCCACGCTTGCGAGGACACGGAGCTGAGAGCAGAGATCAGGGTTTCCATATCTGGCCTTCACATGTGGCCTCTTTGAGCCCAGCGATCCATGCATTCGGAGTTCATACGACATCTTCAGGATCTTCGCCACAGTCGCAGCTTCGTGCCAAAGTCCAAGCTTCATACATGTGTGGTGGTTTACGGTAGCCTGTCAATATGCAACAAGATGTGAAAACGCAATGTTCCTCTGCAGCCAGGCTTTCGGCTGTTCGCTGCAACGGGACGGCTTTAGCTTATGCGGGCGGAGAGCTCATCTTGAACTGGCCCGAAGTAGATTTACGCCGTCATATCGTCGAAGAAAGGGAGCCGACCAGTTTTCGGCATGGCTCTGACAGAAAGGCAACGAGTTTCGAAGCGATCGCGAGATCGTGCTTGCTGCAGTGCGAAGGCCATCTGCGGTACATCCGGACTTCCAGCCCCAGATCGCACGCAGCGAATGCCCACCTGTGCAGGGATGGAGTAGCGCTGGCCTATGCCTCGGAAGAGCTCCGTGGGGACCCAGAAGTCCTGGCAGCAGCGGCCACGGAGCTCAGTGATGCCGAAAGCACCTCTAAGGACTGACACGGGCTGAAGACTCTTTGTCACCATCAGGCTGCTAGCGATGCCTCGTCCTTGCAGTACGCCTCTGGGATCCGACCAGAGTGTGTGGCCAAGTTAAATTCTCTTTGTGCCACGTCAAAGTCTCAACCTGAAACTTCAGTGTGCCAATGTGTGCAACGACCTACATCTGCAACATCTGCCCAGGGTGAGTGTGCCTGGATCTGCCCTGCGGCATATCGGCGAGCAGTTGCAGCGATTTGTCTCACCAGTCGGGGGTCAACCACCTCCGTAACGGTTCCCAAACGTCCATGCCGACATGCAGAGGAGCTGCCAAACGCGGAGGTTGCTCGAGTAGTGGCTTGCGGTTAAAATCGGGCAGTGGCTGTGCGAATGATTGTTTGTTGTGGTGTGCAAGGCTTTGCTTCGACGGTGCATGGCACTACATGGCACTGCTTCTACTGCAATCAGCTGTCTCTGGCTCTGGCACACGTTGCGCATACATTGCTGTTGCTTTTGCAAGCTTGCAAGCTTGTTCATTTGGAGTGTGTCGTACCCTAAACCACGAGCCCTAAACCCAATGTCCCTCATGGATCACGACTGCGACCGCATGATTTTGCGCAGCATGTGCTGCGTCACGGTGTGCTGTAGCAGAAAGTGGAGAGAATTGCGAAACCGGCAAACAAAGCATGGCAGCCACGCGAGATGCAGTATCAGCTGGCCGCTAAGTGTGGCCTTGTTCAGTGCTTGCTGGTCTAGACTTGCACAAGTTCGCAGAATACGTTGAGGGCCTTGGCCGACCTAGGAGAAACATCTCGATGAGGCTTGACCAGAGAAGAAGAAGCCCGAGTGCGGTCGTAGTGCTCTTTCAACAGGCCGTTGTACCCGGGTGGCATCGCTATGTGGTAGGATTCCTGACAGCGCGCAGCCCTCGGGAGAATTCACTTCCCCTGCAGCTTCTCGCTTCCGGAATTTTGGGCTCAGAGTGCGAAGCAGCTGCTGCCAGGTTGACTGCTTGGGATTCAGCTGCCGAGTTCACAGAAGACGAGTTTGGAAAAAAAGTCGACCTAATGGCCGTGTCCACCGAGGCTCTGTACGTGTTGCTGGCCAGTTGGCCGTACAAATGCGATGCCTCCCCGCACCTCAAGGTCTGGCTGGCCGTTCTAGAACTAGCAATGCAGGTGTGTTCTGCAAGTGAAAAGGTTTGGCTGTTCGGATGGCTTGTGCTTGGTTGGCCCAGCAGCATGATCCTGGCAGCGGTCACAGTGTCTGAAGCCTTGAAGAACTGGGAGGAGCAGTCATTACATTGTGGCTTCTGAGGCGTCTGTGGGCCGAAGGACTTTCCGTGGTGCGATATGCATCGAGTCCTGCACTTACTCAGCTTCTGCGGCATTGTGATTTGAGTCGAAGTCATTTCATGTAAAGCCAGCAACATTGTGTCCCCTCGCTGCGCGGTTGGAGAGCATCCTGAGAGTGAGCCTTCATTTACAAGGCACCGTTTGCCCCCTCATAGCCAAACAACTGGGTAGAATGAAGCGAACCCCAAACGGAATCAGGTTCAGCATCGCCATGGGGTTCATCAGCCAGCTCGGGTCACAGATGTCGTGAGCCGTAAACCACCAACCATACAACCGGCCTGACAGCACGTGAGGCACCAGCTATGCCAATGGCGGGTCACAAAGATGTACTAAGTTTGGTAGGAGGTTTTAGCACGTTGGGCGGCAAAAGTGTCTAGAAAACTTTCAACAGCCGGGATGAGGTGCTTCTGGATGCAGACGATTGTCGTGTAACACACTCGTGTGCGCGAACGGCGTAGCTGCCTACAAACACTCTGGCTCGACGCGTCTTCAATGTCTTAAGCTTTTCGCGTCTAGCCCTCTCATTCGGCGCTTACCCAGATCATGGCTTTCTCCAGTGCCTCGACGGTGGCGGCGCAGCTGGCGGCGGCTTTGGCCGACGCTCGACGAATGGGATGGGTGCCTGTGGTGGGGCTGCTGTCGACGGATCAGGTGGCGGACGAACCTGGTGATGGAAGGCAGAACCGACGCCTCGGCGGCACAAGTTCAACCGTTCAACTCTCACCTTGTGGTCGGCGCAGCAGGAAAGAGAGCTGAGTCGACGATGCAGTCATTGCCATTACCGGTGACGTCCGGGCATGGCAGAACCGCCTCTGGTGGTGTGGCCACGCCGATGGCGCTTCCGACACGGGGCCCCAGCCCCTCACCAAGGAGAAGGCCACGGCGCTTTTGGCTTCAAGGGACGACTCCGGCGGCACCCGCCCAATTCGGAAGAAATCTTTGCAGACCCGCCCCTAACTAATGTATTTCGGGGGGGAGTGCGCATGCCACAATACAATACCCCAGCTTTGGAAATGTATTTCAAGGGGGAGGTGTTGTTATCGGAGATCGGCTTGTACATGCATGAGTTTCGGATGATTCGTACACACACACACACACACATGTTGGCATGCTGATTTGTTAAATGGGCTGCAGGCATTTTGCCTCGTGGTGTGTCTTTCTCTTAGTGCATCACACTCACGAAGGAGGGAACTAATGCATATTTAAGTAAGATCTTAAGCCTGCTTCCTAGTGCGGGACCGCAGAAATGTATTACGGGGCCCCCCGTCGTAATACATTTCCTTGGGCCCTGGGACAGTCCCTGGGACCCTTTCTTTCTGCACGTGGCCTCTTTTGGCAGTTCTCTTAATAACCAAGCCGGCAAAGAGAAACCAGAGCACTGTCCCCGAAAACTTCACGAATGGGCGAAAACGCGTTTCTCCGAGACAGTTTCTGAGACAGTGTCTGCATGTAGTTCTGCATGTCAACCTGTTGTTATCAACTTCCGAAGCCTAAAACCCAGACCATCCCCGACGCCTGCGAAATACACTTCCCGTGCCTGTTGACCACCCAAGGGACTATTGTATTTCGCGGGGGGGGGCCCCAAAACAGCAGTTGGAGCCGGGTGTAATCTTTGCGGTGCTTCGGGTGCAGGCCAATGCCACGAGCCAGCCGACGGTTCCTGCGGCGGTGGCCCGGAGCAGGAGAGCACCCATGTGAAGGCCCCGCCCGACGCATTGATTCCGTCCACAACATTGATGGCTACGGGAGACTGCCCGGAGCACAGGGCAGAAGGACGCTCTCAAGCCCGACGAGGCCCAGAAGTCGGCAGGCCGGCTGTCGTTCCTTACCCAGGCGGTGTACGCCCGGGAGGTGGATAGATCAGCGCACTGCGACGACAGTTTGTTCATCGGTCTCCGCTCGGCGCTGGTGTCCTTGTCCCTCAAACCAAGGTTCATCCCGTTCTTATTCCCCGAGGACAAGGCCGGCCATATTCCCACCACGGCCGACGCCTCCAGGCCCAACCGTGCCAACAACGGCTGGGGCTTCGTGCTCAGACTCGGCGAGGCCGTCTTTTACGACCACGGCGCGGTGCCACCGTGGTTTCTGAGGAAGTTCGAGTCCCGGTGGGCCTTCATCTTCATGCTCGAGATCTTCGCCCAGCTGGTGGCCATCGCGCCGTTCTCGGCATACCTGCCCGGCGCCCTCACGGCCTTCATCGATAACACTGCGGGTCAGGCGGCGCTCACCAAGGGCTATGGCAAAGACCCGGCGACGCGGTCTCCCGCGACGCTTTTGCCCGTGCACGGCTCTAGGGCTGGACGAGGTTCCAGACCCCGGCGTCCGAGATCATGCACATTTTGGCCGAGGCTGTCGACGACCTTTTCTACACTGTGGACCTGCTCTACCTCCTGGTCTGCTGAGCCGACGCGTGGTGGGGCTGGGTGCGCCGGGCGGTGCTGATATGCGCACCCGGCGCCGCGGCTGTAGGACCCGAACCTGCGCGCCGAAAGGCGCATGCAGCGCTACATATCCACACGACGAAGAAAACGAGTCGTCCAGATTTGGCGTCGGAGCTAGGAGTGCGGCGATTGTTGTGTAGCACACTCGTGTGCGCAGTAACAATCGCGAACGGCGTAGGTGCCTACAAGCACTCTGGCTCGACGCGTTTTCGACATGTTTAGCTTCCGACCCACCCTTGCCATCCCTTGCCACCCTTATGGGTATTCGGCGGCGGTCAGTCCTCAGCTGGCTGGTGCTGATATGCGCACCCGGCGCCGGCTGTAGGACCTGAACCTGCGCGCCGAACGGACATTGCTTAACAATCGCCGCACTCCTAGCTCTGTGGACGACTCTTTTTCTTCGTCGTGTGGATATGTAGCGCATGTTGTGTCGATGTCAATGTAGCTTTGCACATCAGGTCGCAAGCTTAACGTGCTGTGATCAGCATGCTTCCTTGAAAGGTATTATGTCCAAACAAGATTCGCTTCGATCTGGTTCGAGAAATCATCAAGATCAAGATGAGAGATGACCCAGTCAAGACATGATGGTGGGCTTGAACTGAGGCCCACAGGTCTGCATGTGGAGTTTGGGCTTTTAGCTTGGGAACATTGATTAAACGTTTCAAGGTCAAGTGATCTGGTAGTCACAGCTTCGCTGGCATCCACATCCAAAAGAGAAACAAGCAAGCACTTTCGATTCGGCATGTGGGACGTTTGCTTGTGGCCTGGCAACACCCCAACCCCATCTCCCGTGCTTGCTTCCTGCCAGAGTTCTTCCGTGGGTCGCTTGTTTTTTTCTGGCCTTTTGGTGAACTCCGAGTCTTGCAACTATGGCTCAAATCGTTGCAGCTGATGATCACTGAGTGTAGACTCTACTTCCGATAGCAAACTTTTGAGTTTGGGTCTGTCGGGGGTAACTCGATAAGCTTGGCGAGGGCTCTTGAAGCTGTGGTACGGCCGGATCCACAAGTTTGGGACGTAGTACGTGCATGCTGTGCTTCATCAATTGTTGCATGAAGACTGCTGGGAACAAACCTGTCCAAAATATGGGTGCTGAGATCTCGCCAAACTTGCCAGCCGTCTTGTGACTGGAACGGTCGTGGGAGTTGCATGCTCTTGTTGCTGACCGGTTCCTTTGCCCTCATACTGTCGTACTGTTCACCCTCGGTTCACCGTTTTGGCGATTCTGCTTGCCCTTGCCTTTCCCAGTGCGGACTGACTGTGCAGGAGGCGATGTTAACGTTTGGTACAACAACACCTTCGCACATCGCGTAGCAGTGTGGCTAGTTGACCCACCTCCAGTCGTCGCAAAGGGCACAGGATACGTAAGTGCGGTGTCCGGCATAGTCTACAGCCAACGATTCGTTTGCATCTCTTTTGCAAGGTTGGCTTTGTGCGCCTTCGGGTTTGCCTGGTTGATGTTTGGCAGCGTTGAATGCTGGGAAGCGGAGGACACC